TTAATTAATAAGTTTATAATGTATATAAGTTATAAAATTATAATTATAAGTTTTATAAGGTAACTTATAAGTTTATAACTTATAAGTTATAAGTTATAAGTTATTAAGTTATGAATTTTATAATTATAAGTTGAATATTTATGTTTTATAATTTGTATATTCAATATTTATATTTATATATTTACTTTATACTATTACTTTAAAATTTAATGTTTATGATTTATTAGTAATTGGTATAATTTTATTTTTTTTTTAATATGAATTTACAAATTGTAACAAAACGGGGAAAAAAGGCAAATTGGACTTTGGATGTGAATAATGCGTACTTTATATTATTATTACTTGAGTTGAGAAAATTGTACAATGATAACAATGATAAAAATCATACAATGATGGTATTAAACAAAAATTGGAAAATGATAAAATTGATATTTTTAAAATCGTACAATATACAATAATTGTCTATTCTTCTTCTCCTTCTTCTTGCTCGTCTTCGTCTTCGTCTTCGTCTTCGCCTTCGCCTTCAAGGTCATCGGCTAGTTGCATAGATTGGGAACTAGCCGAACCCGAACCGGAAGCGGAGGTTCCTTCTTCGTTGTCGTTGTGGTCGTAAGAACGGTCTTGTGAGCGATTTTCCGCATCCAACCAATCTTTGAAACACACGCACATTTCTAGTGTTTCGGGTTTTAGACTTGTTCTTCTATCGTCTAAAACCCTTTCGGATGCGCTGAAAGCTCGTTCGGAGGCGACGGAGGAAACTTGGATAGCAAGAATGTCTCGTGCCATTGCCGCCAAAGTTGGATGCTTCGAGCTTTGTTGTTTCCACCATGCAAGGAGGTCGAGGCTGTTTATCTCATCGTCGTCCATGCCTTTGGTGAAGTCGTAACTCAGGTACATCTGCAACTCCGAGACGTCGCTTTGCGTTCTCCTGATTGATGAATCACCTGAAAACCTTGAAATCAAGTTAGTAGCTTGTGAAAATAAATGTTTGGCCTTCTTACTTACGTTTTTAGATGGTTGGGAAGGCCCTGAGCGAGGAACGGTGCCATATTTGGCTTCATAGACTCTATATAAAGCAAAAAACTGATCCTTCACATTAGTCTTATAGTTTTCTACATCATCGTCAAGAAACATGCATTGAAAGTAAATGTCAACTAACATAAATGTGTTTTCATACTTTTGCCTAGGATCTAATATGGAAGCAAAAATATAAATCAAAGGAATCTGACTATAATATTTACGCCACTTTTTTTCCATTGCTGGAAGATACTGATCATAATCACTTTGATCGCGATGATCAGCGAAAAGTTGGGCGAGTAAGCATGCATTAGAAAGAAAGTTTTGAGCACAAGGATTGTAAACAGTAGAAAAACAATACGTCATGTTATATAATAACTGTAAAAATTGCATATATCTTTCACAGTTATTCCAATCATCATCATACAAAGCATTTTGTGGAAATTTTTGGTTGTAAAATAATGTTAACGGGCCCTTGTACTCAATTGCCTTTGTTAACATGTCATAGGTGGAATTCCACCTAGTTGGGCAATCGGTTCTAATTTTTATTACCCTTATCTTTTGTTGTTTTAGAAAACTCTTCCATTCTTGGTATCTCATGTTAGAGCTATTAATAGACATAATAGCATCTCTGATTTTGCTGTAGTATGGGCCAATTGCCCGAACTCCATCCTGTACACATAAGTTAAGTACATGGCAAACACATCTAGTATGAAGAGCTTCACCGTCTAATAGTACATCGGTTAAGTTTTGTTTGATAAGATTAGCTGTGTATGTCATAGAGGTTGCATTATCAAAAGTCATAGACATCATTTTATCTCGAAGGTTGTATTCGTCTATTGCTTGCATTAAATGGTGAGCAATGTTAATGCCGGTGTGTGGGTATTCCAGCATTTTGAAATGTATTATTCTTTTTTGTAACATCCATTGATCATCTACCCAATGGCAAGTCACACATAAATAGTGATATTTATAACCACTATCCCAAGAATCGGCTGTTAAAGATACTCTACAGTTAAGGTTACTCAATTCGGCTTGTAACCGGACTTTGTACTCTAGGAAATTTTTCATTGCTGCGGAACGAACGGTTTTCCTAGAGATTCTTTTATGTTGGGGTTGTAGTGCTTTGTTAATGTAGGTGTTGAATGCGTCACTTTCCGAGAAAAGAAAAGGTTGTTCGGCGTGTACTATCATTTTTCCTAGTTCATCCCTATCCCTCTCATAGTTGTATGTAAAGCCGTATGGATGGAATTGGGAAATTTTGGGCTGGGTTGGATCACTAGCTGGTTTTGCACAAGCTTTCATGTGTCTAGATAAGTGTCCCGTCCCGTTTTTGGTAACTGCCGTGAATACACTATTACATGTTTTACATTTTGCCCATTGTTCACCATCTTTACTTAGGACAAAATAACGCCATACCTCACTCCTTCGGTTTTTCAAAAGTAGCATCTCAGTTTCGGTTAACCATTCATGATGTGTGTATTGGTTAGTAGGGGGACTAGTGGGAGTGGCAGTAGAAGGGGTAGAACCGGAGGGAATTCGGGTACTTTCTTGGCTACCTTGGCTAGAACAATAGTTTTGTTGATTACCGATATAATTAGGTGGAAATTGGTATGGTGGTAGTGGAAATTGGTTTAGTGGTGGTGCTGGAAATCCCGACGTATTATATGGCTCATAGCCCGGGGGGAAGTAAATGGGGTCATTGGTTTGACTCGTAATTTGGGGGCTCGTTGTATTTGGTGGTTCCCTAGAACTACTACTACGGATAAGTCGGCCTTCCCCCCTAGACCTAGATGATGGGTTGTTCGATGCCATAATTAACAATTAATTTTTTAATAAAAAGTGGTTAACTATAATAATAATAATTAATAACAACAATTTTAACAATAAAAATATCAATAATAATAATTAATAACAACAACTATAACAATAACAATAACAACAAAAATAAATAATAACAACAATTGTAACAATAATAATAATTAATAACAACAATTATAACAACAACAATAACAATTAACAACAATAATAATTAAACAAGATTATTCTAATAATAACAATAAAACAATAATAAATTTAAGATTAGTTTAGATCTTACAACCGTGCTTCAACGCTCCACTAATTACGATTACGAACTTTTTAATTTTTTCCGATATTAGGAAAATAATTAGAGAATTTAAGAGAATAATTAGAGAATTTAAGAAAATAAGGATTATTAGAGATTTAGAGAATATAAGAGATAAGAAGAAGAGATTGTGATTTTGTGATTTGGGAATGAAATGGAGGTGAGTATTTATAGAATTTTTGGCATAAAACTAGCCGTTTATAGCCGTTTAACTAGCCGTTGGCCCGCGGGCCGTGCCTGTGGGCCGTGCCTGCGGGCCAGCACGGCGGGCCTTGCCCGTGCTCGTGCCGGGCCGTGCCTGGGAATTCTCCACCGTGTCCGTGGCACGGCCCGTGGCACGGAAGTCAAACTTCGTGCCGTGCCGTGCTTGACTTCGGGCCGTGCCGGGCTGCTCTGAACGGCGGGCCGTGCCGGGCGGCACGCGGGCCAACCTGGCCCGTGCCGGGCGGCACGCGGGCCAACCCGGCCCGTGCCCAGGTTTAGTGGGATTATTAGCTTCCATTTTTCCTAAGATAATTTGGACAACTAGTTTAAATAGGATTATTTAGAATTATTTAAATTAAAGTGATCAATAATATTTAGAATTATGTGTGCATTAATATTCAACCAATTTAGCCTAATTTAGTTTGGAGCAAATTGAATCTTTGTTTGTATGCCTTTGAGATCGCAGGAAATGCTTTTCACAATAAAGATTGAGTAGAGGCCAATACGAGCGAAGTGACTTCCATGACTCACTTCGTACCATAATCCCTGGTCCTCCGTTCGTGGTTCCAAACCATATGGAGTTAATAATCTCATGGATTATGAATGGGGTGTAATCTTCACGAGTCAATCGTTGTTGCCTTTTGTTGTCCCTTATTGTAGTTGCCTTAAATTATCCATGAACGGTTTACAAGTTCCTTAAAACTTGTTAGCGGCTCCCTACTTTTTTGTCCCTAATTGTATATGTCAAATCCGGCTTCCTATGATTGCCAAGCATATTCACACATGCTTAAGTAGGCACGCTTCAATCGCCGCCTATATTAGGATTTAAAGCATTTGAAAGACTGGTTAAAAGCAACTTACTATATATCTATTGAATTTTTTATGCCCACGAATGAAACTAAAGATTTATAAACCAACAATTACTTTTATTGCAACTATGTAATATGAATTGAATGAAATTATTTGAACTTATTGTATGTTAATCTAAGATGCATGGATCATTGTGATGATGCATTTTAGGAGAGTGAGTAAGAAATTTGAGTAACCAGTTTCACATGGTCTTGGTCCCATTACAAAAACAAGGAATCAGTGTGTACCAATTATGGTTACAAACCTGGATTAGTAACTGGTAGAATAGATTCCGAATTTTAATATCTAGTTATTTGATAAGGGGTTTGATTTTGTACTCATTACATCTAAGTTTTCAAGTCTTTTTGACAACAATAATTCTTGTTCTAATTGTTTCCACATTTAGAGGTGATCTAAATCGGGCTAAGCCGGTCCAATGTATAATCTTGTGTCCAAACCTGCAAAATAGTGTCAAATTTATCTGATCAAAGCGGGTTTTTCGAGTTTTTTTGTGTCGAATTCAGATCTTGAACTAAAAATGGGTTTTTAGCCTTCCCAAACCAAAACTTTTCTAGATCGGGCCGGATTGGACTAGCGGGCTAAGTCATTCTTCTACATTATACACACACCCAAACCTAAATTCATAGATAAAATCCATAGGAAAAAAATAACAATATTATATCATATCATAAAAAGGCCTACAATCCAAGTCCACAAACCCTCCAAACAATCTACTCAAACGGATCCAACCCAAACCCAAATGAAAAACCCATGATCTCCATTCTCCAACCTACAACACCCAACTAAAGCCCCAATTACAAATATAAAAGGCCAAAAACCCTAGTTTTCATTTCCTCTCTTGCTATAGCTTCAGCCGATACCGCATCAGATCATCACTTTCCTACTGCGAAACCATGGTAACATCTCTCTCTTTCTCTCTCCTCCATTTTTACACCTTCAACCTTCATTCTATCTCCTCTTAATCATCGTATTCTGCTTTTCTTTTTAGGGCATCGATTTGAAGGCAGGAGGCAAAAGCAAGAAGACCAAGCGCACTGCGCCTAAATCTAACGATGTTTACCTCAAGCTCCTTGTTAAGGTATCATTTTTTTTTTTTTTTTTGTCAATACCCAGAAATTTTATCAAATACCCAGTTGAATTTCATTGTCAAATTTGGTTTTTTTTTTGGTTTAATTTGTGAAATTAAATGGTGGGTTAATCTGGGTTTTTGGTATATTTTTTTTCAGCTTTACCGATTTTTGGTTAGAAGAACTGGTAGCGATTTCAATGCTGTTGTTTTGAAGAGGCTTTTTATGAGCAAGACTAACAAAGCCCCACTTTCTCTCTCTAGGCTTGTTAAGTATATGGCCGGAAAGGTACTTAATTATTTAATTTGTTTTAGTATGATTTAATTTATATTATTATAATTTGTTTTAGGATGATTTAATTTATATTATTATGATTTAATTTGATTTAATGGATGTTTATTATTGGGTGTATTATTGAAATGCAATGTTTGTGATATAGGATGGCAAAATTGCTGTTTTGGTGGGAACTATTACTGATGATATTAGGGTGTATGAAGTGCCTGCCATCAAGGTTTGTGCTCTGAGGTTTACTGAAACCGCTAGGGCTCGTATCGAGAAGGCCGGTGGCGAGTGCCTTACTTTTGATCAGTTGGCTCTAAGAGCTCCTCTTGGCCAGAACACGGTATAATTGCTTTGATCCAATCTATCCTGTTCTTTATTGTGCATTTGTTTGTGTTAAAAGTGCTTACTTTTTACGGTACGATGCAAATTATGTGATTTTGACATAATTGGAAAATTCATTGGTTAACATTTTGTTAGTGCATCATTCTTTGCATTGTTGCCTGTTTTTTAGTATACTGATGATGTTGATTAGGAGCGTGTAGGTGTTGATTAAATAGGATGTTATATTCTGGTGAAAGGTTATTGTTGTGTGGATTTAATTGGCTACATCAGTATATTAGTGATAATAATAGGAGGGACCAAAAAATGGTGCTGGGTTTGAATTTGAACTTTTGAAGTTTTAGAGAATTTGTGTTATGAAACTATTTGAAACTGTGGAATGCTGATTCTAGCTACTCCTTCAAATGAGCTTATGTAGTATTTGTAATTTCATATGCTGAAATTGAAGTAGTTGAAAGTACAGAACTCTGAATGATATGAAGTATTGAAGTGATAGCCTAATCTTAAAGCAATGTACTTCACCTCTGCCTCATATGTAACAATGGCTATTAACACACGGTGACATGTTGCCGGTAGATCACATATGTATTATGATTTCTCCAACGTGAGATGCTGATTGCATACAGGCAGCTCACTCCCTTCATATTTTCCCTCTACTTGCCGCCTGTAAAACAAATGAGTGTTTAAGTTCGCTTTACCTTGGTGTTTGCATGGTTTAGTTGCATATATGTAACATTTGTTCTGAACTCTACTCTAGTTTGTTTGTTGAGTCTTTTTGCAAGTGTTAAAGTTAATGGTTTGTTTGGTGCTTCTTAAGTTTATAATAGGAGTTTGTTTACTCATTTGATTATGCTGAGGAAATTTATATGGATTGGTTCTTTACTTAAGGTATTTTTCTTAATATTTTACTATTAAATGGTAGGTTCTGCTAAGGGGTCCTAAGAATGCTAGAGAGGCTGTCAAGCACTTTGGCAAGGCTCCTGGTGTTCCCCACAGTCACACCAAGCCTTATGTGCGATCTACTGGCCGTAAATTCGAGAAGGCCAGAGGTAGACGTAACAGCCGTGGTTACAGGAATTAAGTCAAATATCAAGATAGAAGAGTTTGTTGGTTTCTATTGTCAAAGACTTTGTCAATCCATGTGTTACAATTTGGGTTTGAGCTTCATTTTTCCTTTTTATGTTGGGTTAGCAAAGCAAATTATTAGTTATAGCAGATTTTGCCCTGACGTTAATGTTGTTATCATCAGTTTTGAAGGTAAATTTTGTTGAAGAGATTGCCTTAACTTTTGCCTGCTTTTTGCTCAAGTGTTGCCTAGGGGATGTTTTTGACTTGAATGTTACTCCGTATGTTTTAAGTTGATCTTTCTGAAAGTTGAAGCCATCATTAAGCAAATTTCTAGTCTTAAAAGCTATGGAGTATTAAACCTGTGGCAAAATTAGTGAATGAGTTTAGAAATAAAGTACTAAAAAAACCGGGATAGCTATAAAATTTTTAAATGATCCAATGCAGTTTTTGCTGATTTCATTGTTTGTCTTATATTTTAAGATTAGCTTGTTCATCATATAAAAAATTAAACAAATTAAGAACGATTATAATCTTATTACTCGTATCTTTATACCTAGAACTCGGACTCCAATTGGTTTCTCATTTCTTTATCTTATCTACTACCTCTATTTCGTGTTTTGTATTATTTGCAATATTTTCCTAAAATGCATGTCACAAATTATTTGCAACAAATTAAAATTTTCCTCCTTTAGCAAATTTTTTTCGTATAATTACCAACTTACCTTTACTTAACTTTAATAAATATATTAAATCATACTTCCTTTGAGTTTTTATTTTTTTATTTTTTTTATTATTTTTTTTTTTAAGTTGCAACACTTTTTTTCACGTTTGTTGATGCATGATTTCAATCGTTAATTTATTTACCAATATGTAAAAATTATAAACATTTGATGTTAATATAGTATAAATCGAGACGAATTTAATAAAAGTCCACATGTTTATATTTTTTGCTTGAGTATAAATCATCAAAGCTAGTCAAAGAGAAACACATGAATAGCGTAAATGTCAAATGTTGCAACTATTAAAAAAAAAAAACGGAGGAATTATGTTATTAACCTAAATTAGTTCATCCATTATTTAAACTTAACCCACATTCTCTCTCCTCTCTCACCACCAACACCACCACGTTTTCTCTCTCCTCCCTTTCAGCCGCCACCACCACCACTTTTCTCTCTCTTATTTCATATCTCACAACCGCAACCACGCACCACTCAGTTCGATTGCCACCCTTTTACTTGTGACAGTTGCCGCCACTTTCTTCTCTCCTCGTCAGAGTCGCCGCCACCTTTTCTTCCCTTGTCAAAGTCGTCGTCCCTCCTTGAAATTAGAAATTAGAAATTGATTAGGAAAAAGGAGAACATGAAATTAAGCTTAAAATCTGAGATCTATAGAAAAAATGGTGAAAGATTGTGGTTAGGGGGTGGGTGTGGGGTATCTTCGCGGTGGGTAAGATTGATGAGGGGTAAGTTTTGGTGGTTGTGAGTTAGGTCGGGTGGTTTTTGGTGGTTATGATGAGGGTTTCGGATCTTGGTGGTGGTGAGAGGGTGGTTACGAGGTGCGTTTGTGGTGGTTGTGAGTTGGGTGGGGTGGATTTTGGGCATGTTTCAGATTTTGTGGTGGTGAAAGGGTGGGTTGGTGGGTATATGGTGGTTTCGGTGGCGTGGGTGTTTGTGTGGTGGTCGTCCGACCGATTAATCACATGGCCCCTCTATCTCCTAATCTTTGCTTAAGATATTTTTTCCATTTAAATGATCACCTTAAACTACTACCATTATTTTTTTTTTAATTTACCACAAAAATACAAAAACTTTGAGTAGCACTACCACTTTGATTTTCCGGCAGGAATCTCCGGTTGAAGAGGCCCAACTTTTTAAATTTTCCAACAAAAAATCCATATGAAATGACAACATTGCTCCCGCATTAACTCTAAATTAGGTAATACAATTCAATTGCCTCTAACTCCCCCAATATCATAAAACCCTAAATTCAATTTGATCATGACCCTAATTTTAAGATTCAATTAAGAAATTACATCAACTATGATGCGAAATTAAAATTAATTTACATGAATTGTGTTCGGCCACTGAATTCACTTGTTGTCTCTACCACAATTGATTAAAATTTTATAGAGTAGGCTACACCAATTGGAGATTCTTGTCGGAAAATTGAATGTGGTAGTGATATTCATAGTTTTTGTGTTTTCGTGGTAGTTTTTTCAGAATTTTTTTTAAATGGTAGTTATTTTCTTGGCAAAATTTCCATTCCAAACTAGTTAAATCAATGTTGTCTTTAGTTGTATCATTTTTGTAATTGTGGACTCCTAGTCTCCTAGGCAATTTTTGAGAGAAAAAATAAAAAGGGCTCATATGATAGGGGAGAAAATATATTAATTAACTATTAAATGATGAAAGGAGTATCTAAGGAAGAAAAATTTAAATTATTACCGTTAGAGAGAATAAACTGTTTTTTGAAAGTTGATACTTATAATAATATAGCTGACTAGAATTTTAATAATAAATCATTTTTAGTTTTGGAAGGAAAATTTTTAATGACAACATAACATGTATCTAATTTTAGGATAGGATGATATCAACGGTTGCTGTTTTAGTATTAGCTATAGATAAGAAAAGTGATGCATTTAAATTGAAACTTTCATTCTTAAAAATTGATGCATCTAATAAAAATGGAGGAAATAATTTAACTATGGTTCAATTCTTAAAACTATGTTATTCGTTTAGAGACAGAATAGGACCTTGATGATTGCATTGCAACCCATAATTTTATTTCTCTGGCAAATGCTAAAAGCCTAAAATGTTCAACCAAACAATACGATTTGACATCGTCAAATACGAAGACTAGAGCAAGAAATATGAGCTAATAATTCGATCAAAATCTCTGTCAAATCCTTTACTAATAGGAAACAAACCCCATCATTTGATATCAAACGATATTTAAAAAAAGAAAAATTAACAAAAATAATCCGAATTATTGACCATCTTCTCATTTTAATTCAAATTAGTCTTTAATTTAGAATAATCCAAAGTATTGGGGGTATTTGCTTATATTAGTCTGAGCAAGGTATTAACTTGCTAAACAGGTTAAATTACTCATGTGTGGCCCACTTTTGTTGTTTTATTAATTGCATTACTCCCAATTGGTCTAAGCTGCACCCTTATGCAGCTATTCTAGCTGCAACACCAGCCCATAACCCAATTTCAAACGTGCCCCATTAAAAAAAAGCCCTAAACCAAAATGAGCCCACCCAAAAATCTGAACATATCTTTAAATGCAGCCCACCCAATTGTCATTTATACAAAATCGTCACTTCCAACAGCTATTCTTTTTTTTTGTTTTTTTTTAAAAAAATCGCCACTCTCAAATTTAAATTTCTTAAATTTATTACTCCTCTCTTTGATTTTATCTCTCTTACAATCAAATGCAATTCACTCTCTCTTCTCCAAAACAACCATGGATATTTGAAATGAGATGAAAATCAAACGAATTCTCCCAAAAAAGGTAATTTTATGTAAATTTCACTTAATTTTGTTTGAATTTATATGAATATCACTTAATTTTGTTTGAATATTGTCCGCTACTCTGTTGTTTGAAATTTTTATTAAAATTGTTAAAAAATTTAGTGAAATCAAACGGATACCTTATGTTCATAAAATGTTTTGAAATATTCATAATATTATTATTTATTGTTCATATGATAAATATTCTTAATATTCATAAAATGTTCTCATTTTGTCTGTTTTGTCAGTTTATGCTTATGTTCATATTTTGAATGCTTATGTTCACTTTATGAAATGCATATGTTCATACTTTTATGCATATGTTCACTTTCGTTCTTAAATTTTTATGTTCATATTTTGAATCCTCTTGTAAACTTTCTGAAATGCATATGTTCACTTTCTGAAATCCATATGTTCATAATTTTTATGTATATGTTCACCTTCAAAAATGCTTAATTATGTTCATACGCATTCAAAAAATGAACCAATGCATATGTTCATATTTTGAAAGCGTACGTTCATTTTTTAAAATGCATATATTCATATTTTTAGTGCATATATCCATATTTTTAATAGTTATAATGCGTATGTTTCATAATCATTTTATTTTTTATTTCTTCAATTTTCTTTTGTTCATAATTAAAGGCCGTAAATTCAATTCATATGAATTGCATGTTCACAAACCTAATCAAATTGATCAAAATTCATTACAAATCACCACAAAAAAAAGGACGAAATTCATACATATATCAAATTGATAGAGATTAAACAAAATACAATTACAATTGAATATAACCTAAAAAAAACCTAATTACAATCAACAAAACAAAACACTAATCTGTATTGACAATCTCTGAAGGAATAACAACTAATTCCATAGTAAGCAACAAAATCAATCGAAAAAGTGAAACAAAAGAGGAAATAAAGAAAACAGAGGAGAGAGAAAATGAAGAACGAAAGAGGAAAAACAGAGGAGAATAAAATTTTGATGAAAATTATGATCGAAATTTTGATGAAAATTATTATAGGAAAGAAAAGTGAAGAGAAAAGTACTGCAATTAATTTGTGTTCATCACCTATTATAAATTGGCAAATCACCCAAAAATTATATATGCAATATCAATCACAAAATCAGAAAATATAACCAATTAAACCAAATTACAAATCAATAACATAAACTAACTTATATCAACAATCTTTTCAAGATTCCAATTAAATCCATCACGAATTAACGAAAATACAAAAAATGGAGGAGAGAGAAAATTTTAAAAGAAGAAGGTGATGCCAAACACAATGGAGAGTGAAAATTTCAACCAAAATTAAGAATTAAGTAAAGAATTTTGAAAAAAAGGGAAAAATTTATGTAAAACTTAAGAAATAAGGAAAGAAATAAAATAGGAAGAAGATTGAAAGGAGATGAAGTAATATATACTAGTACTCTAGTAGTACATAATATATATGTGTGTTTGGTGTATAAAAGGGGGTATTTGTGAAGTGGTGCAGCCAGCTTGATGCACAATGGTGCATCTAAGAATATGCGCATTACTCCTCCTTACCGTCATTTTTGGAACCATTTATCAAATCTTCATAAATCACCATCTTCTACTACTATTTCTTCTTCCTCTGATCACCATCAAGATTTCATCCTTTTGGTTCATCCTTCAAATATTAAACCTTGTCTTCTGGTGCAATATCATTTAGCCTCTCATATGCATTAACTCATTCATCAAAATTATGGCTTGATGTTTCAGTCGAAGCTTAGGGTAGTCAATAA